TATTAAAATAAAAGGTAGCCTGTTTGCTCAGTGAGTGGAACAGGAATTTAGAAGGGGAAGTCATTCATTGATTCATTGGCTCTTTCAGTAAACCCCAGGCTCAACCAAGCACCAAGCACCAAGCACCAAGCTTGTGGTCCAGCTTACTGACCTTAGTCTGTCAGCTCCTGGGGATTTCCTGGATGTACTTCTAGCCTGTGACCCCGCCACATACAGACCTGAATTGGGACAGCACATTTCTGGGAAGTCTTTCCCAAAGTAGTGAGGCACCGGCTAGCCCATGTTTCAGGTCAAAAAAGTGCTTCAGTTTGGAGGTGGGAAGGCACTTGGTGACTCTGGGACAGTTGGACCTAAGGGCTAGGGGCAGTCATGGAGGGAGGACAGGTCCCAGCTGGATTGTGTAGGCCCTTGGCTCCACTCTTGGGTACAAGAGTTTGGGCTCCGGTTCTGGCTGTGTCAAGTTCTCTTAAGTGGTAGCAGGGGTTTGGGGGAGAGAAATTCCATCCCTTTAGAATTCCATCTCTTTGGAAGCCATGACCATCAAGCAGTTCTATTTGGGATTAGAGGGAATATTTCTCTTCCAGAGATGCCATCTCCAATCCTCAATCTAGTCCAGCTCTTATTCTAGAGAACAAAGGGAAATGTCTTCAGATTCCTGGGACAGGCGCCTCCTAAGTGAGGTGATGAGCTCTGAACCCCCTGGTGTGAGCCAGGGAAGCCCGGCCTGAGGTCTCAGAGCAGAGAGCTGACCCCTTTTCTCTTCAGGAAACTGCAATAGCCTCCCCGGTTATCCTCCGCGTGGACCCCAAGGGCTACTATTTATACTGGACGTATCAAAGCAAGGTGAGGTGGCAGCCCCTACCTACCACAGCCCTGAGCTCTTGCTTATCCAGTGAGCTCAGCCAAAGTACTAATGGGGAGAGATGTGGACTCTGGGGAGTGGAGAGTGGCCTGGAAGGGTGGCATCAGAGAGGAATAGACCGAGAAGAAGGGAGAAGTCCCTCCATGGGAGAATCTGACTGGTGGGAAGGGAAGGGTAGGCTCCAGGTGGCTCTAGGCAGTTCTGGCATCTAGAGAGAGCAGTTGGCCATGATGTGAAGGGGTGTGGAAGCTCCCTGCTCCCTGTGACCTAACCTTTTGCATCCTGGCAGGAGGTGGAGTTTCTGGATATCACTAGTATCCGGGACACCCGTTTTGGGAAGTTTGCCAAGATTCCCAAGGTAGGTGGGCCCAGAAGCAGCCTAAGTGCAGAGCAGCTACCAGCTGCCTGGATAAGGAGTTCTTGCAGGGGGCAAGAAGCCTGGTCTCTAAAACAGGGGCATGGTTCCTGGGCTGGGCAGCAGGGGTCCCAGCTTGAGCCAAGGAAGGGTTGTCCTGGGTTCCACCCTGGGCTCACCTGGCCTCTGAGATTTGGAACTGGGCACGATGAGCTGAATGGTAGTGTGTGGGAGGAGGGGCCACCTCCTGCCCTCAGAGCACCCCGCACCATCTGGATGGTATTGCTTATCCCCCTTCCCCAGCTGGTTTGACTATATTTGCCTATTGCTGGTAGGAAAATTGGAGGAAGGGATTGGTGGCAATCAGGGTTCCCTGAGCCTGGGAGCTAAGAATCCATCTTCAAACAAAAGTGGCAAATAAAATACACAGCCCGCTCCCCCAGGCCCCACGGCCTTAGCTCACCTCTTCCTGTGGGCCTCTCCTTCCTGCCTCTGTAGTGAGTCAGGGCTGGGGGCTGCTCAGGCCTGGTTCCCAGGACAGGGATGGGATTCTGCCCCAGGGGGGCATAGCTTGAGTGGCTGAGGGGAGGGGCAGGGAGGAGAACACCCCTGACCCTCACCATGTCACACATGCTGCAGAGCCAGAAGCTCCGCGAGGTCTTCAACATGGACTTTCCAGACAACCACTTCCTGCTGAAGGCACTCACAGTGGTGTCCGGGCCTGACATGGTGGACCTCACCTTCCACAACTTTGTCTCCTACAAGGAGAATGTGGGCAAGGTGCGTGGGGAGCCCCTGGCCTGGGTCTTGGCCCTGGCCTGGGATGGCCTGGACTTTCTGAGAGGCAGGAAGGGCACCCTTATAAGTCAGAGGCCTGGCCGCTGAGTTTTGTGCTCCTGCAGGACTGGGTTGAGGATGTGCTGGCCCTGGCCAAGCACCCGCTGATAGCCAACGCCCCCCGCAGCACCTTCCTGGACAAGATGTAAGTGCCTGCCCACCTGGTCTTAGCCTGCTGCTCTAGGAATCCAGCCCCTAGCCCTGACTCGGGGCTGCTTTTTGCCCCTGCAGCCTGGTAAAGCTCAAGAGGCACCTAAATCCTGAAGGGAAGATTCCTGTGAAGAAGTGAGTCTCCCCAACTCCCTCCTCGTATTGCCCCAAGCTCCCCAGCCCTTCTCTCCGCACCCATGGCTCTTCTCTGCTGGGTGCCTTTCTCTCTCCTTCAGTTTTTTCCAGATGTTTCCTGCTGACCGGAAGCGGGTGGAAGCTGCTCTCACTGCCTGCCACCTTCCAAAAGGAAAGGTGAGTGGTTCCCCAGCCCAGCCCAACCCTGGGGTTCTCACTCCCACCAGAGGGCAACTACTTGGCCAGGCTTGATGGTGGGTGGGGAAGGCAGGAATGCCATTGGTCCCATCCACAGCCCGCACAGCCACTGGTTCCTGATCCTGGCCCAGAGGTGGACTGGGGCAAGGGTTCGGAGCAGGTGGCAGCGTGGGGGAGGGCAGCCGTTGGCAGACTGCTCAGGGCCAGTCGCAAAAACAGCTCACATTCCCATTCGAGCCTTGGGGGTGAGTGAGAGGAACCGAACGACAGTGGAAGCTGCCAGGACACAGACTTCAGCTCAACACAGGAAAGCAGTTTCCTGTTTCTTTTTAATTAAGCAATTAATTTTTAATTACCAGTTGTCAGCAGGGTCACCCCATGAGGTGCCTTATGTGAATTACCAGAAAGGATCTCTCTGGGGTTGATAGGGCCCTGAGCCAGGGTCTAAGCTTGGCCAGAGGAGCAGATCTCAGGCTGGGGTCCCCCGGGCTAGTGCACTTGTATAGTCACGGCCTGCACCCCAGAGAATACGTTCTCCTGGCAAGAATTTAGAACATTGTAAATGAATAAAACTAAGGCCCCGCTGGTTACCTGTTCTTATGAATTCCAGGAGGAATGTTTTCCCCACAGGCACAGCTCCATGGGATTGGTGACCCCTGAGACAGTCAGTCAGCACTTCAAGCATAGGGTGGGGAGGAGTGGGGGAAGGGGCTCCTGCTGTGGTCCTCAGGTCCCCACCACTTGCTGGCTGTTATACACACCCACCTTCCTTTTCTACTGCTTCCTGGGCTGCATCCTCCCTATTTATCTGCTTTCCTTGAGTCCCAGAAGAGGCTGTTGATCTACCTTCACTTGCAGCTGCAGCTCCAGAGGCAGAGGTGGGCTTAGGGAGACCCAGCAAGACTCTTGCTCAGACCTATTGCAAGCTAAGACCATTGTTGGCCGGTGTAGGCCTTCCAGTATGATCCTGAGAGACATGTACTGGGAAGCACAAAGCAAAAGCACACTGTCCCTGGATACCACTAATCAACTTCCTGTTTCTATTTCTATAACTTGCCTACCCTGGACATTTCATGTAAATGGACTTATAATACATGTGCTTTTTCACGTCAGGCTTTATTCACTTAACATGCTGTTTTCCAGGTTCATCCATATTGTAGTATGTATCAGCACTTCATTCCTTTTTATCATGGAATCATATTTCATTGTGTAGATATAACATTTTGTTTTCCTATTACTAGTTGATGGATATTTGGATTTTCCCTTTTTGGCTATCATAAATAACACTGCTATCAACACTTGCATACATTATTTTGTGTGGATATGTTTTCAGTTCTCTTGGATATATACCAGTGAAATTGTTGGGTCATATGACTCTTTATTTAACCTTGTAAAGAGCTGCCTGAAGTTATCTAAAATGACTGCACCATTTTACAATCCCACCAGCATTGTATGAGGTTTCCAATTTGTCCACAGCCCACCCACGCTGTTACTATCTTTTAAACCATCCTAGTGGGAGTGGAGTAGTACCTCATGTGAGGTTTTTTGTTTGTTTGTTGTGGGGTTTTTTTGACCACTGCTCTATTTATGAGACTGTTGCTGGCTGATCTTGAACCTGTGGGTTCTGTGAGTGGCTAGGGCCCTAGCTCTGAGCCACCACCCCTGCTCTCATTATGGTTTTGATTTGCATTTCCCTAATGACTAATGATATTGAGCACCTCTTCATGTGCTTATTGATCACGTGTACATTTTCTTTGGGGAAATGACTATTCAAATCCATGCTCTATCTTCCAATGGGGTTGTGTTTTATTGTTGAGTTACCCCTTATCAGATACCTGATTTGTAAATATTTTATCCCATTCTATGAGGTTTTTTTCCCCCTTTCTTGATGGTGTCCTTAGCAGCACAAAAATTTTAAACTTTGATAAATTTCCTTTTCATTTCTTTCTTTCTCTCTTTTTTGTCCCTTATTCTTTGAGTGCTTCCTCTTATTATTGTGGCTATTATTTCAGTACTGGTGATCAAACTCAGGTGGCTCTCTCCAGCGAGCCATGCTCTGAGCCCCAATTGTCACTTTTTGCTTCTTGTATTTCAGGGTTCTGTTGTTAGGTGCGTGTATATTTATAGTCAAACAGCCTTTTTTGGGAAAATGTGTCCTTCCCTAAAAAAGAAACAAGGTAGCCCACTGCCTGGCAAGCTGCACCGCTAACTTCTGACATCTCTTCTTCCTTGTCCTGGTCCTTCTTAGTTCCAATCCTGTTCTTGCCAAGAGACACCCCACCATCAGGGCAACCAGCTCAGCATGTTCTCAATCAGCAGTCAGGGGTCTGAGAAGGTGGTGTCCAGGGTGTTCTCTATCTGCCCACCTCGAGCACTGTCTTTGATTGTCACATTGTCCAGAGCTGGGCCTGGGCTGTGGGTCTTAGCTCTGAGCAGGTGACAAGGTGACTGTTCCTGCAGAATGATACTATCAATCCAGAGGACCTCCCAGAATCTGTCTTCAAGAGCTTCCTCATGAGCCTCTGTCCTCGGCCAGAAATAGATGAGATCTTCACTTCCTAGTGAGCTTATTGGGCTGGGCTGGGCATGGGGAAGGGGTATTGGCTAGCAATCCCCTCTTCTTACTTGCCCTTCTAGAAATCTGGAGAAAAGGGTTGTCTAAGCCTCCAGGTCAAGAGATATGGACCTGTGCTCCTCTCTCTGGCCCACAGCCATGCTAAGGCCAAACCCTACATGACCAAGGAGCACCTGGCCAAATTCATCAACCAAAAGCAGCGAGACTCCCGACTTAACTCCTTGCTGTTTCCACCAGCACGGCCTGACCAGGTGCAGGGCCTCATTGACAAGTATGAGCCCAGCGTCATCAACATGCAGAGGGGTGAGGACTAAGGGAACGCTCAGTGTCCCAGTCCTGTTCCGTCTTGGCAGCTGGGGTGCAGCTCTGACAGCCATCCCTTGTCCCCCAGGCCAGCTGTCACCTGAGGGCATGGTCTGGTTTCTCTGTGGGCCAGAGAACAGCGTGCTGGCCCAGGACAAGCTGCTGCTCCACCATGACATGACCCAGCCACTCAATCACTACTTTATCAACTCCTCCCACAACACCTACCTGACAGGTGGGCCTGGCAGCCTCACTGCTGACCTCTCTGGACAGGGGGTGCTTCTGGTCTCCGGATCCCATGGGTGCTGCCTAGTGTTGCTAAGCCTGCAACAGGACAGACTGTGCTGGGGGAGGGGCTGGCCCTCCCTTGAGTGATGCCCCTGCCCCTTTCCTGTCCTGGTCCAGCCGGCCAGTTCTCAGGCCTGTCCTCGGCTGAGATGTACCGCCAGGTGCTGCTGTCCGGCTGCCGCTGTGTGGAGCTGGACTGCTGGAAGGGGAAGCCTCCTGACGAGGAGCCCATTATCACTCACGGCTTCACCATGACCACAGACATCTTGTTCAAAGTGAGGCTTGTGGGATGGGCTGAGGGGGTGGCAGCTGAAAAGGGGAGTAGGGAAAGCCCTGGGCCAAAAGCTTTTTGATTTGAGGGCATGAAGCTCCAGGGGAGGGATGACTGGAATGCCTCAGACCAGTGCAGGGACTAGAGGAGAGTAGGGTTGCCAACCAGGGCCACCCACGAATGCATTGAACCTGGGCTGTGGGGAAAGCACTTGCGGGAGGGGTGGGGCAACACTTTTCTTTCTACTGAGCCCCTTCTTTTCCAGGAAGCAATTGAAGCAATTGCAGAAAGTGCCTTTAAGACATCCCCCTATCCTGTCATCCTGTCATTTGAAAACCACGTGGACTCGTGCGTATCCAGGCCCATTTGGCCTAATTCCTTGTGAGGTCCCCACTCCTTCAAGCTGTCCCTGCCTTTAGCCATCGATCCATCCAACTCTCTCCCTGGTCTCAGTCCAGGCTCCTCGGACCTGTGTTCCTGCCTCCCTCACTTCTTGGGTCCCTGGTCTGGTCATCAGCACACAAAAGAATGGGCAAGAGGGCTGAGACTGAGCTGCAGAACCCCACCCTCACTTTGCTCCCCACAGAGCCCGCCAGCAGGCTAAGATGGCTGAGTACTGCCGGGTGATGTTTGGGGATACACTGCTCACAGAGCCCCTGGAAAGGTTCCCAGTGAGTAGGCTCTGCTGTGCGGTACTGGGCCCAGGGAGCTCAGGGCACACCCTGCAGGTGAGGAGATGGTGCCCATCCCCTCCCCTCTCCCCTCTGCACAGCTGAAACCAGGCCTCCCTCTGCCCAGCCCAGAGGATCTGCGCGGCAAGATCCTCATCAAGAACAAAAAGAACCAATTTTCTGGTCCGGCAGCCCCCAGCAAGGAGCCTGGTGGAGAAGCTGAGGACAGCTGTCTCCCCAGAGCCCCCACTGGGGAAGGCACAGGTAAGTTCCGGGAAGAGTGGATGGGGCTGGAGACATCTGGATGAGGGGAGGCAAGGGCCGGAGGAACCCTTCGGGAGCCTGCCGAGGGCTGTGGGTGGCAGTGTGGACTGCTGAGGCAGGAGCCGAGCTGGAGGAGGAAGAAGAGGAAGAGGATGAGGAGTTGGGAACCCTGGATGAAGAGGAGATGAAGAAGATGCAGTCAGATGAGGTGCGTGGCGGCGGGTGGTGAGGGTGAGTCCTCCCGCTGAGGAGTGGCCCCCATCCGGGCTCTGCACGTCTCCCCCCAACCTCCCCTCTGTTCCCTAGGGCACAGCGGGCCTGGAGGTGACGGCTTACGAGGAAATGTCCAGCCTGGTCAATTACATCCAGCCCACCAAGTTCCTCTCCTTTGAGCTCTCTGCCCGTACGTTAGTGTGAGGTGGGGAGCCGAGGGTGGGCTCAGGAGCAGGGACCCTCACAACAGAGCAGGTTGATGGTTGGAGTAAGAGGAAGGGCAGCCTCCCCTCCCTGGACCTAGGGGCCCTATAAATACCCAGCTGAGGGGTCAGGAAAAGGGCTGTTTAAGTGGCAGTGGCTGCCAGTTTCCCAGCACTGTGCTGAGGAACCTGGCAACAAGCAGAACACTCTGGAGTGTGTCAGTGACAGGCAGGTGGTGACGACAGGCCACCTCAGCCCACCCTGCCTGGGGGTCCTGTGGTCTCCTATAGGTTCTGTGGCTTTGGGGACTGAGCTGCATGTACCCAGGGCCAGTGTGAGCCCTTCCCCTTTCATATGGCCCCATTTTCCTTGATATTAGGACACAGCGATACTAGTGCACAGTGTGTTCCTCTCCCCTCCATACACAGCCCTGATAAGACAGCTCTTTTTGAATACTCCTGTGCACAGCTGGGCCTCTGAGACACTGGCTTCTATCCATGAGCCCACAGCCTGCATCCCACCTGGGCACACCCACGATGTGTACACCTCTCCCTCCATGCACTCACACTCAGCCATCGCTTGCAAGCCCCATTCCCAGGCGCACCCCAGCATGTCCTCACACTCTGCACGTACACAGCATGTGCGTGCCCACAGTCTCCATGCCCATCCGGGGCAGGCGGCTCTCCCTCCCTGGACCACAGCCCACATCCCGTCCCTGGTGTGTCCCTGTTCCCACACACTGCTTCCAGAGGTTGGTGTCAGGGTTGGAGGCACCTCTGTACAGGATGGAGCTGCCCCAAAGCGGAGGGCAGGGCTGAAGGAGAGGTGACCAGGTTGAGACCTCCTTCTCCCCTGCACAGAGAAGAACCGAAGTTACGTCATCTCCTCCTTCACGGAGCTCAAGGCTTATGACCTTCTCTCCAAGGCCTCGGTGCAGTTCGTGGAGTATCCTTGAGGTTTTGATAGTGAGGTCCCTGGCTGGGGTGGGCACTGGGGGAAGGTCTGGGGACAGGGTCCCTGGGTAGTCTTTTGGGTCCTCCTGGTGAAGATGGCCCCGGCCAGGCTCCTATACTCAGTGACAGCTACAACAAGCGCCAGATGAGCCGCATTTACCCCAAGGGTACTCGCATGGACTCCTCCAACTACATGCCCCAGATGTTCTGGAATGCTGGATGCCAGATGGTTGCCCTCAACTTCCAGACGATGGGTGAGGACACTCCCAGGCCCTGAAATCCCTCCCCCAGGTCCTGCAGGTCCCACTGTCATCCTTCCCTGGGGGTTCTGAGAGCAGACTGGGTGTCCTAGTGTTTGTTTTGGCTCTGGAGCATTTGGGGAGGGGTGGGGCATTAGCTCATGCTTTCACAGTGGCTCATGCATGAACACCAAGGTGCAGAGCCGAGAGGCTGGCACAGGGCCTGGCCGCTCTGCTAGGATGTGTCTGTGGGAATCCCACTGTGAGCTGGCAGACTGCTCATGTCATGTCTCTTTTCTGACCGTTCCTGAGTGGTGAAGCTGCAGAACTAGGCTGGGACACGAGAAATCCTTGCCTCCAGGGTCCATGCCACTCCTCCATCCCCAGGACAAGGGAGGGTGGGATGTGTAGGAAGGAGAGGCTGGGGACAGACCCGGGCTAGGCCTCCCTCACTGTCTCCCTTTGCCCCCACCCCCAGACCTGCCCATGCAGCAGAACATGGCACTGTTTGAGTTCAACGGGCAGAGCGGCTACCTCCTCAAGCATGAGTTCATGCGCCGGCCAGACAAGCAGTTCAATCCCTTCTCCGTGGACCGAATTGATGTGGTGGTAGCCACCACCCTTTCCATTACGGCAAGGCCTGAGGAGGACAAGTGGGGAAGGTCGGGGGTCTTGAGGAGAAAGGTGCAGGAGACCACCCCGCTACCTCAACCCCCTCCCCTGCTAGTCCTACAACTTCAGCCCCAGCCGGCAGCTCTCAGGCAGTCACCAGTTGCCTTGGAAACTGCCTCCTCCTCAGCACTGGAGGCTGCTACTTGGTCCCCATGGAAACCAAGGGGAAGGGCTGTAGCTGGGTGGGGGAGGGGAGAGGGAGTGGGCAGAGCGGGGCAGCAGAAGCCCAGGCCCAGGGAAAGGTGCTGCTCCCTTCTTGGCTGGAGAGGGAAGTGGGGCCGCCCTCCTCTGGTCCTCAGAGCTGGGCTGTAGACCATGAGCCACGTAGCCTTCAGGTGGCGGCCAGAGCTGAATGGAGCTTTTCACAGTACTCATGGATGCTTCAGCTTAAGGGAGTCAGAGGCCCAGGTGCCTGGAGAAGAGCCTGGGTGGGGTCTGATGTTGGGCTCCCTGGTTCCCACCCCCAGGTTATCTCTGGGCAGTTCCTGTCTGAGCGAAGTGTGCGCACCTACGTGGAAGTGGAGCTGTTTGGCCTCCCAGGGGACCCCAAGAGGCGCTATCGCACCAAGCTGTCACCCAGCAGCAACTCCATCAACCCTGTCTGGAAGGAGGAGCCCTTTGTCTTTGAGAAGGTGGGGGGCGAGGGCAGGGCAGGGGCTGAGGTCTGTTTACAGGTGAGAGGAAACCAGTAAAGGGAGCTCTGTCATCTTCCTCCTCCCCCCAGTCCCTCACCCCATCCTCCTCAGTTTCCAGAGTCCCAAACTCAACTCTATAGACGTTTGCTTGGCGGGCAGTACGTGTGTCTGCGTGTACACGTGCGTGGGTCACGACTAGAGGCACAAATGGGAACTAATCCAGGGCTCAGGGTCCCGTGGGATTGAGAGGTCTTTCACCCCACTGGACCCTGTTTAGCAGAGTGGCCCAAGGCTGTGGGCACAGCCATCCCTTCTCCCCGTGAGATCAGCCAGAGCTGAGCTGTGAGGATGTCTTGTATGTATGTATGCCTTCTGCCCGTCTTCGCTAAGTCTAGTAACACAGGCCAAGTTCTCACCCTGACACTGACTTCCAGAGCCAGGCAGGGGGCTGCTTGGAGCCCTTCTCCCCTCAGCAGACCATGGTTTTCTAAACTCTCCCCAGATCTTGGTGCCTGAGCTGGCCTCCCTCAGGGTGGCTGTAATGGAAGAAGGCAACAAATTTCTGGGACACCGAATCATCCCCATCAATGCCCTAAATTCTGGTAAGGAAGGGGATCCTTCTTCACTGCACCCAAGGAGCCTGCACCCCAGACCAGCAGGGGGCCAGTCTAAAGCATGGGAGTCTGAGGGAGGGCCTCCATCACCACACTTGTGTTCTTGGCCTTAACATGAGGGCAGGGATAGAGTACCTCTCCAGGAACCTAACAGAGGCGGCAATTCTGCTCACCTACCACGGTGCCCGTGATTTCCTGGAGCACTGACTTCCTGTCCCACGAGCTGACACCTATGTATGAAGGGCTCATCAACGCCTTCTCACTGAATCCTTACCATAACCACCTAACCACCGGAGGCATACACTATCCCCATTTCACGGGTGAGGAGTTTCAAGAGCTAAAGTAACTGCCAGGCATGGTGGCAAAAGCCTGTAATCCCAGCACTTGGGAGGCTGAGGCAGGAGGCTCGTTATGAGCTCAAGACCAGCCTGGACTCCATAGTGAGACCCTGTCTCAAAAAACCAAAACAAAAATGAGTTAAAGTAACTGCCCAAGATCACACAGTCAGGAGGTACGGTACCAGACTCACACCCTGCTCTCTTGAACTCTAGAGCCAGATCTTGAGTGTGGGTGGTTGGTGTGCAGTGCTGGGTAGGAATGGGGTCTGGCTCAACACCCACACTCTCTTGTTCAACAGGATACCACCATCTGTGCCTGCACAATGAGAGCAACATGGCCCTCACCATGCCTGCACTCTTTGTCTTTCTGGAGATGAAGGACTACGTACCTGACACCTGGGCAGGTAGGGCCTGTGGCAGGCTAGAAGCCCAGGCTGTAGTTCCCCTTACACCCCATGTCCCAGGGTGGGCGAGGACAGGCCTTTGTGGTCTGTCTCCACACCTACCAGGCCGGTAATGCCCTGTGCTCCAGATCTCACTGTGGCCCTTGCCAACCCCATCAAATACTTCAGTGCTCATGACAAGAAATCCGTGAAGCTCAAGGAAGCTATGGGAGGTCTGCCTGAGGTTTGTGCTGCCTGGACCACTGCTGGGCACCCCTAGGAGCTTTGCCCTCTGTGTGGGAGGTTGGGGACCAGGGCAGAGCCCCAGTTCAGGGAGAGGGGCTGTTAGAGACACCTTCTGATGTGCTCTCCTTGCACAGAAGCCCTTCCCATTTGGTGGTCCAGTTGCCTGCCAGGTCAACGGGGCACCAGGGCCTGCAAGCAGTGGGTCTGAAGGTAGGCACTCTGGGGTCCACCGACCTGGGGGAGGGGCCTCCACCTCTACCACCACATCCCTAGGCCCAAAGGATGAAGACTTTCACCTGAGAAGGGAAGGGCTGTCCAAAGCTCAGGACTGGGAAAGTGCACTGCAGGGGTCCCATCTTGAGGCCCTCAGGGAGTGGGGAGCCCAACTGAGTCAGGGGTCCCAGAGTACCTGCCAGCCCGTCCTGTCCTCCTGCAGCAGCAGGGGCCAAGGCCAGGGAGGAAGCCATCAAAGAAGCTGCAGGTAAGACCAGCCTAGTGATCACGGGCATGAAGCCAGGGAGGGCCCATGAATAGGGTGGGGTGGCAGCACACCTCAGCCCAGCCTCCCCAGAGCCAAAGACGGCCAGCATGGAGGAACTGCGTGAGCTGAAAGGCCTCATGAAGCTGCAGCGGCGGCAGGAGAAGGAGCTTCGGGAGCTGGAGCGCCGAGGGGCACGGCGTCGAGAGGAGCTGCTGCAGCGCAGCACAGCTCAGCTGACAGAGCTGGGGACACCAGGCTGTAAGCTCCGCCCGGGGAAAGGCTCCCGAAAGAAGAGGTAAGGGCCACCGGGGCACCCTGCCTTCCAAGCATAGCAACCTCTGGCTCAGGGCCTGTCCCCATGCTGCTGCTGCAGGACCCTGCCCGCAGAGGACACTGCAGGGACCATGCCAGGCAAGGGCTTTGAAGGCACGGACCCACGAGTGCAGGAGCTCAAGGACAGGCTGGAGCAGGAGCTGCAGCAGCAGGGCGAGGAGCAGTACCGGAGCATCCTGAAGTGCAAGGAACAGCACGTGGCAGAGGTGCCCAGAGGAGACAGCACAACCTAACCAGCCCCACGCCCTCCACACAGCTGAGGGCATCTCACTGAACCCCTCTTCCTCCCCTCATGCAGCAAATCACCAAGATGATGGAGCTGGCCAGAGAGAAACAGGCCTCAGAGCTGAAGGCCCTCAAGGAGACCTCAGAGATGTAAGGGTGGCTCTCTGCACACCTCTCCCTGCTCCCCAGCAAGGGCCTGGTCCCTCAGGACAGCCAGCTCATGCCTGTGCTCCTGCAGTGACACCAAAGAGCTGAAGAAGAAGCTGGAGATCAAGAGGCAGGAGCGGATCCAGGCCGTGACCAAAACCACCACAGACAAGATGGCCCAGGAGAGGTGAGCCCTGGTGGGATGGCCCCATGCCCAGCAGGCCCAGAGGGGAAAGGGCCTCCCTACAAGTGGCTCCTGACTCACTTCCCAGAGATGCCGCTCCCTTGGCCCTTGAACAGCTAATCCTTCCTCTGTCACCCCTGATCAGAGAGCATCTTCCTGAGGCAAAACCCAGAAGCCAGGAGTCTTTGAGTGGAGAGGAGCAATGAAGGGAAGATGAGAGAGAGAGGGAGAGAGGGAGAGAGGGAGAGAGGGAGAGAGGGAGAGAGGG